GCACGGCGGGCGGGGCGGTGGTGGTGATAGTGGTGGTGCAAAAGACATGGGGAAAGGCGTGGTTGGAGTACAGGGGCCCAGATGGCGTTGTCAGGTCCACAGGCGGCGGTGGCGGCGCTGGGGCGGTCATGGTCGGCGGGTCTTGTCTTGACCCCAGCCCTGCTGGGACTGGGGAGGGCATCCTCCCTTCCAAGGGGGCACTGGCCACGGTCCCATTCCCCCCCGCCGCGACAGGCGTGGGCCCCGCCCCTCCCGCCGCTGTTTCCTTGTCGCTGCTTGCGCCTCGGTTCTCAGACTGGAGGAGTTCGCCGACGGGGGTGATGGGGGTCGAAGGGGACTTACCGCCCAGCCCGTGGTCGAGCTTCCATCCTGATCCTGTCCCCCGGGCTGGCGTCTCTCTCCGTTGCTCGCTGGTATCCCGTTTTGATCGCGCTTCCAAGGCTTTCCCGTACTCGTTGGCCTCCGGCGTGCGGTCCTCATCGCTCTCTCGGCTTCTTGGAACGGGCCACCTGGGACCTATTTTCACCCCCTGAAAGGAGCCGCGTGACCCTGGAGCGAGCTTCCCTTTCACAAACTTTCCCGCAACCCCCGGTCCCGATTTCAAGCTCTGTGACTGGACGTTGTCGACAATCGTCAATAGACAATGCCCCAAGTTTCGGAGTTTCTCTATTTCCGGATCTCCGCATAACGGCCGGTGGTCTGACGCCGGATCTACTGGCATTTCGATGACGCCTGGAGAAGGCAGCCACGGAATTGAACCCTCTTGGGAGAAGACGGTCCGTTCGAGATGTAGCTGGGAGAGGAGGCCGCAGAGATGCTCGGTTTGCGCAGGTATGATCTGGTCTCGTATTGGAATTATGCACGTTGGAGGAAAGTGAATGGACAAAGGGGTAGATTGAGTGAATGGAGGGAGATGGACAGGACATGGCAGTCGTAGTGATGACCTTCTCTTAAGTCGTCAGCTGCTTCGAGTCTCGCGAAGTTTGGAGGGAAGAATGATGCAAGCATTTGTGTGACCAAACGCGGTTTCGAACTCCCCTCTCCACCCTCTTGCCCAGGCGCCTGCCTTTTCCCCCACGCTTCCACACATTTCACAACCGCTTTTGGCAAACATTTTGGTTGCCACTCCATGCACTTACCTCTGCGGCCTCCAAAAGCGTGCTCAAACACGAGCGAGTGATTGCTTCTCGCATCGACAATGGCGCTCGCTCATGGCTACAGTTTTCGTCTCGTGTCATTGCACTTTTGTCTGGAGTCCTATAACCATAGGTGACAGTCGAGGCATTGTCTGTCTCAAGTTGAAAATAAAAAGTTTGCTCATCTGTGCGATGCATACGCTTTCTTCTCTCTATGGCTGGCAATGTGACAGGACTTTGTGGGCACAATCGTGAAGGTGCTTTGCTTGCAAGGATGAATTGGCCTGTGGTGCTAGAAATTAAATCGTCTCCACAATCAAGGCAAAGTGAATGGGAAAAATAGCGTCCCAAGGGGGGACCTTTGTCAACAACCGGTACTTCTACGCTGCGCTGTACTGTGAGAGTAATGGAAAGACACGATATAAAAATGTGCATGAGCTCAATTAAAGACATAGCTTACAAGATGTTCAGGAAGAAATAAAATGCATTACTTTAGATACTACTCAAATTTGCATGCATGAAAGGGAAGGCACAATTTCCTTCTTGTAGATCGAATTCCCTACGTGCCAGCTCGAATAATGACGAAGGGCTTGTTCATAATTCCACAGCCAGCTCCCGAACCGAATAGTATTGACAAGTAACGCGTCAAAAGTACAAAACCAAGGTGGATATCTATACACGACATGCCTTGGCTTGAGGGATGCGTCCCGTGTGACGTGTGGAAAAGCACTCGCAATACCTTCTTTATCTCGTTTTCGCCGCCAGGCGGGTTCTCGGCCGTTACTTGTAACGGTCGAGGGGAAGGAAGTTTGAATAAATTTCCACAGTGTACGAGCGCAAAGAGCGGCTTTCATTCATCAGAGATCAAAGATTATTTGGTTTATGGATGAGAATCATCGTTTGTAGAGAAGCTTAAAGTTCTTGGCAGCGTTTCGGCCCCAAAATCTCAATATGTCATGTTATTAAAAGTTTATTTTTTGGATCCTTCGTCTTTGGAAGACGCCGTTTTCTATTAGAAGGAAGGGGGGAGAAGAATCAAAAGGAATGGCAATGGCTCAGCTATCCATTTTTTAATGTGTTCATGACATATTTTATGAGAAAAAGGCGATCGACAGCCCCTTGATTTTTTGTGTCTCAAAAAATTACGTTCCACACAAATATTCCACTTGGATCTTGGGTGTTCAATGTTTGCGCTGGACGTCGTCTCCCCACATCCAGTAAATTGAACCCTTTACTTTAACAGAAAAGCATACAACTTGACACTGCTACCTCATCATGCATGTATCGAAAAGTCCATTTAAGAGAAAAGGGGTGCCTTGGCATGAAGCCAGAAAATCTTGTACTATGGAAATAGATTCATTTTTTTTTTTCCCAGAGAGAAACAACGGGATAGGTGCCATCCAACCAGGCGGGGGAAAACTCGTGCGCGGGAAGGTTGTAGTACCTTGACACACTCCTGTGGATGTGGAAAATGGTGGTTAGAGGAGTACTTGAGCGGTCTTATGCAAAGGCCCGTCTTCCCTTTCTGTGCAAAATCTTAAATGCAAGCATATTTTTCATAACTTTTCCACATTTTTGACAAATGATTGCTTCACCCTTACTGTCTTACATCGATTAATGCCACTGTTGTATTGTGTCCCTTCTCTTCAGCCACCGCCCGCGGCGTCACCCCTTGATCATCTTCCAAGAAAGGATCACAGCCGGCTCGTAAAAGAGCTCGCACCACTTCGCCATGCCCCTGACAACAAGCCCTCCATAGAGGACTACGTCCATAATTATTGACGCGGTCATACAGCCTTTCTCTGTGTCCCTGCTCGCTCCTTTCTCCCCCTTCCACCTTCATCCTTGCCTGCATCTGATCGATTGGCCCTCTCCTCCCCTCCAACATCCGGGCTCGAACTCTTCGATCTATTTTTTCATCTTGAGAATTCAGCCATCGTTTCCCGCAAAATTTATTCTCTGCGACTCCCCTGGTCGAGATGTCAGGCTTCTTTTTCGCTCCTAAGAGCTGCACGACTACGGCCAGATGACCATTGCTTGCGGCCAAAGCCAATGGAGTAGCTCCCCAGCAATCTTGTGCGTGGATATAGGCATTGTGATCGAGAAGGACGGAGACCACAGCCTCATGTCCGCTAGCATCGGGAAGACAAGAGAAGAAGAGTAGGTCTGAAGAGAAAAACTGAGGGGGTAACGATTCTAAATCCAGGAGCCAGCACGTACCGAGAGGCAGCTATGTGCAAGCATGTATCCTCCATGCCATCGACCGCATGCACAAGCCGCTCTGGTGTTTCTCCATGATCGAGGAAGGCTTGAACGCTCGAAGCGTCCCCCCGATCGGCAGCGTACATGATTGGAAGCCAGCCCCAAGGCCCGGCTGGGATGTAGATCTGGGACGAATCCTGCAGAATGATGCGTCGGACAATCTCCGGGGTGTCGTCGAGCTCAAGGCATGATGCTGAATCATCGCACTCCTCCTCGTAAAGGTGACCAGCGGCAGCAGCGTGCAAAGGAGGGAGGTCGTGGATGGCTGGCCCAACGCCACCTTGTGGACTACCGGGTGCAAGGTCTGAATTAGGTGGCATGATTCCTAGTATATGCAAAATCATGTTTTGATCAATGTGATCAATCTTAAGACAAACCAAGGCCGTGAAGACTGTCGAACGGTGGAGAGCATTTTGGAACGTACTAGTCGGAAGGTAAACAAACATGGTGTCACAAAATTCACGTATAATGCCAGACATCATAAGATACATATTATTATTATCTATAGTCATTCGACATTCGCTTTTCCAGTTGTGCGCGCGCCGGTATGGATGAAAACGTTTGCGCCGAGACATTTTATATCAGGAGATGGCGGTAAAAGTAGGTCCTGTATGCGAGAGCCGGGGCATATCGTAAAATCGTAGTTTACACGCGTTTCGCAATCTATGCCCACAGAGTCCTAGACCGCATACAATTTCACATAAAATGTACAAAATGATCTTGTGTACACTCCAGAAGCGCGGCGACCCTTTGCGTCCTTGTTTGCGAGTCGAGGCAAGGAGGGAGAGGGGAGGTTCGGGGTGGTACTGGAATGCACTGGTGGAAATTACTTTTTGGCATGGATGAGTTTGTGCATGTAACATTAGAAAAAGGCCTGTTTTTCGTTTTCTGAGAAGGTTTTGATCAAAAGCATCTCCTTGCGAAAAGAAGAGGATGACTTCAGTCATCGATTCTGACCTTTTGGGGATGGGTAGTCTTACAATTTGACGCCTATGTTCGCCATACATATCTTATTGATCGATATTTTTTTGGGCCGCTACTTCCTATCCTGAATATTGTTTTGTAAAGCACTATTATCGACAATTGTGTAGAGTAGATATAAGTGCTTCGAGAGGAAACGACCGCTTTCTGGGGACATGACGGCGAAGAGGTCAGAGAGAGATGAAAGCTTGAAAGGCGAGGAACAAGTGCGTACACACATTGTAGCGTACTTTCTTTTCTATTTTCTTTTCTATTGTCTGCTTCAGAGCAAACATATCCTCTCTTGGCACGGAATTAATTGCCTTCCCAGTTTTCTCCCCCAATGGTCGATGGCATTAGCAACGCCGCCGCTTGCGCGCCTCCCTTGCAAACTCACTCTTCTTCCCCTTCACTTTTCGCGCTTTTTGCTCCTGTTGAGTATCCCGCAGCTTGGAAAAGACGTCCCTCTTCCCTTTCCTCACCATCATGTAATTCTTTTTCCGCTTCTTCTCGGCATTTGTCAACCCCCCGGCGTGGCCCGCGTGCTCGAAGGTGTTCTTTCCCGACACGATCTTCATCAACCGCTCTTCCTTGCTGGCCCTACGCCTCTTTTTATAGCCTTCCAAGTCTTCTGGCCGCAACATCCCTCCCTCGCGCCCACCCCCCACCCCTTCCTCTTCCTCCTCCTCTTCCACATCCCTCCCTCTCTTCCTCCCTGCCCGCTTCACCAACAGCACCTGCTCCGTCTTCCCTGTTTTTCCTCCTCCCCGTACCTGGCGGGGGTCCCTCTTCGCCTCCTCGAACCGTTTCTGCAGCCTGCGAATTTGCGCGAAATCTTCCGTGGACAACACCCGTTGAGCCTCCACCCGTTTCATGACATCAGTCCCCGCCGGGCGGATTAAGGAGGTTAAGGCTGCACTCGCCCGCTTCTCCTGCCGCTGTAGGCGGGCCGCATGGGCCGCCTCTCTCTTGGCCGCGCGTTTCAGTCGCTTGCTCTGGACAGGCGTGGACGGGAAAGGTGGGGTCGGGGTGAGACTGTTCCGGACAGCTTCTTCGCCTTCTCCTTTCTCGCTCCCGACGGTCTCCTCCCTGTTGACTTCCTCCCCTCCCATCGTGTTGCCGCCAAACCCTCTTCCCTTGACCTCCTCTTCTTCTTCTTCTTCTTCTGATCCGTCCTCCTCCTCTCCATCCTCCACCCCCTCCTTCCCCTCCCCCGCTTCCTCCTCGCCGTTTTCGGAG